TAAATGTTTTTTTAGGAAAATACGCTTTCAAGACAAAACTTCACATCAATAAGAATGAAATAATAATATTAGAAGTTGTACTCTTGTAAGATTTATCATTCGCCAGCAGGGTTTCAACTTTAAATTATTCCAAGTAGCGCACAAGAATGGAAAATATTATAATAGGTTTTGACAGCCGGTTTTCTCAGTAACTGTATAATGATAATAATATATACTTTTGCGATTTCATTATATAACGTTCCCTCTGAGCGTGTCGTTTTCCCCCTCGGGAAAACTGTACAGCACATCTTATTAAAGAAAAAAAAATCATGACTAATGGAAACGGCCCTTTTTTTTCTGTTCGGTTTATCGTTATAAAATATGCAACAGCTCTAAAAAAAAGGTTCGCTTTTAAGAAAAAAAAATGATAAATTAGAGGTGGATTTTTTTTTCTAGAAGGGCTTGTGAATAATTATTTTCACTCTCTCCCTCCAAAGAAATTATAACCTACTAGTATTTCTGAACGACGCGACGTGTACTTGTCAACAGATTAAAAACGCTGAGAATATTTTCTAATAAATGTGCACCCAGGTAAAAGTTTATTAGTTGTATGAGAATTTTGAATTATATAAGATAAATAGTTTTGACGACCAAGAAAAAAATATTTATTACTGCTATTAAAAATCTTTAACTTCTGGCACAGTAATGATTAAATAACCAAAAATCTATATCAATTACCAAGTATCTTTAGATACCCAAAAAATTCTAATTTAAAAAACAACTAAAAATTATTTTTATTTTTTTGTACTTTTAATTTTACTACAACTAATATTATTATTATTTTTAGGTAAGTTTATTACTTAATTATGTCGTTATTCTACATTTTTTTTGTTCTAAAAATAATTAAAAATAAAAAAATAAGAATAATTTTGTCCCAGAATTGTATTTTAAATAAACCCTGATAACGACTTTTGTAGGTGATTCTACTATTAAAATAATTATCCTAATATTTTTGGTTTGAAGGTTCAATTCCAAAACTATTAATTTAGTCATTTTTCTTTCAATATCAACTAAATTTTATTCGCTGGAATTTTTTTTTAATGTTACTTAAGTATTTTACCTAATTACTTTTTTTGTTGGTTAGTTACTATATTTCTATTTTTATGTGAAATTTAATAACTAAAACTATAAGCACCATATAAGTATTATGAGTAGTATTTAAAATATTCGAAAAATAAAAAAAAACACAATGAGTTAAATATATATTAACAATAAACGAAAATCAAAATGAATTGTTTCCATAGTTAACTTTTGAAACGAAGTCCATTTATTTCTATGTATATTTTGTAGCTCAAGATTTAAACCACACACAATTTTAAAAATCTCTTTATATTATTATAAGAACTATGATGCAATCAACAACCGTAAACGATACTCATTTCCCAAATTGTGTTAAAAGTACAATTATGCTAAAAATGTCAACAAACGCAAAATTAAAATTCTACCATTTTCCTTAGAATAATTATTTTTAGATAAGAGAAAATTTACCTAATATAATTAAGCGTTTACAACGACACATACAAAACTACAATAGACGGTTAATAACTATATAATGCGTTTTTTAAAACCGCAATGTCAAATATAACTAATTTGTACCTATACAAATTTAAGTAATAACATTTCACTCACGTTTTAAAGGTAATTAATATTATTTTATAAGCAAACAATAGTAATCATTTTTCAGAGGAAATAATGGTGATGATTTGTTTTTTTGTGTGTGACGTTTAAAACGTTCAGCATTACAACCGAAAAAATATCTATAAAACTATTTTACTAAAATAAATAATTAAATACTATCTTATACGAATAAATAATTATTATAATACCAAAATAAATACACTGTTTATTTTGAAGGCCGACCAAAAATCGAATTAAAATGCTTTTGGCTTTTAACAGTTTAAGGCTGCAGCGATGGAAAATAATATGATTAAAACAAATTAGATAGATAGGAATTTTCTTAAAATCTGAAAACGTTTGATTGCATAAGTCTCTCGGTAATTTGTCTATACAAAACAAAACAATAGCCGTTTTTGTGTTTAAATTGAGTTTATAATATAATGAACGTCAAAATAATATCATTACTTTTTAGCGAATAAAACATTAATTTAATTATATGGAATATAGAACGGCCGAGTAATTCAATTAAAATGATAAAACGCAACTAGTTAAGTAATTTCATTAAATTTCAGAAGTTATTTTCCCAACATTGTTTTTTGTAATAGAATTAAATTAACCACATTATCTTGACCATTAAAATGACACAAATTACAAAACCAGTAAAATCGATGATTCTTTGTTTGTTAGGCTGTTTTAAGTTTAAAAAAAAAGGAATTCTCAAACCAGGTTTAATTTATACTTAACAATCCTCTTTTTTCAATACTTACCTAATAAAATAATTTAATACATTTCTTCTCGGTTCTCTAATATTATATTACGTACCTGTATAACCTTATTTTTGACCAAGACAGCTCTGTAAATTCTGATTCTGACTTTTCGGAGTCTATTTCAAATTTAGTTTTTACCTTACATTACCGTATTTCTTTGTTAATATTTAGGAACATCCTTTAATAGCTGCTGTACTTGATAAAACAGTTATCTTTACAAAAAATCAAAATAGCGTTTTACAGAAATAGGAATACAACTATTTTTTAAGCATTGGCAATTATTGGTAAAATTATTTTAAAATTACTTATTTCATATTTAAATTACTTATCAAGTCCATTTCTTTTCGACCTCCTTATTTTTTATTTTTACAAAAGTTATAATATATCCATTTTTTGGATTTTTTCATTGAATTGAAATTTGGAAATATAACAAGCTTTCGTCCAGCACGTTTTTTTGAATACTTTAAATCGTCTAAAATGTAATAAAAACACTGTTTTTTTTATATTTTATTATTTATTTTAAAATGTATTTCAAACAGAATAAACTTAATTTGTATCTACCTTTAGAAGTGAAAGTATTTTGAAAGGAATCAAATTTGTATGGTAGTTCATTTTATTATGGCAATTGTGAAATCATGACAAGAAATAGTTTCTATTGACGATTTATATATTTGTATAAGCATTTGCTTAAAAGTCATAATGATATATATTGGTAAAGTAGTTATGACATGCATCACTTACTATTGCACACAAACCTGTGCAATGATTTAGTGATTTATTTATGAAAAGAATTGAGTAACTAATTTGTTTACAAAAAAAGGATAAAAATCGTTACTATCGGTTAAAAATAGATTTAAAAATTCGGTATTCACAAATTTATGTAAGTATATTGCATACAAATTTAAAAAAAATGTTATAATAGTAAATTTGTGTATGAAAAAAAGTAATTGTAAATTTCCCGAACAGTATTTTTTTTATAACTTTTTAAATATTTAAAAGAAACGTTCTAGACGAAAGCTTGATATATTTACAAATTTGGATTCAACGAAAAAATGAATATATTAAATTTTTGTTCTAATACAAAAAAATAAGGTAAATGAGGTAAAAATTGGACTTGGTGTGAACAAAATATATTCATATTGACTATCGAATGTTTAATTTTAAATGTATTTTTAATTCATTTGATTAATTAGGATTTTCAGAAATTTCAATTAAAAAAAAAATGTTTTTGTTTGTAAAACGATAATAACAAAAAATAGATTTCGTTCTTTTTAAATGTTAACATTTACCAGTGCTAGTATAATTTGGTACCTACCTGATTTTTTATTTTTAAATTAACAGTCTTACAATATTTCTGATACAAATGTTTGGACTAAACCTTTCATAACTAATCGATTCAAATATAATGTTGTCGCGCCATCTATCTCCGTTTGGGTTAACATTGGCTTTTTGTTTTTTACACAGTACAACGACCAAAGCACTAATTATTGTAATTAAGAAAAACGAATGCGTTTTTTGTCAAAAGTCGACCAGAGGTAAATTTTTTACACGACAGAAATTATTATTAATTATACTAAAAAATATATTGTTGTTTTGCTCAGCTGCATCAGCTGCTGCTCTTTTGGGCAGTAACCCGCGGCCATTTTTTGCGATTTTTTCTTCCACAATGAAACGAAACATGTTCATGGAAGAACAGAACTGACCACGACCGCGGTATAAACCGCACGGTCCAAGGAATCTCAAGTTGTTTGTAGCAGCTGCTGATATCGACCGGCGTCGTTGGTATAATATAATATTATAGTGTTCAATTATGTTTGTTCTTTACAATCTTGGTAATCAATTGCACGGCTAATAATACTATGAAATTTTGGTCGCCCTGAAAAGTATAAAGAAAAACTAAAGTCGTCTAGAATCTGTGGCCCGCAACAGTTTTGAATTTCAACAGCAATCGCCATCTCGATAAGTTTTACAAAAGAAACCTTCTGTCGTCCGTAATGTACGTGTTGATATTAAGAGGACGCCACTCCGCCCATTTCTAAAGAGTAAAGTGTTCGCATAGTTTTAATTTAGAGTTTGAAGCATAGTGCATAGTCGCTTATTAATACAACTGTAATGAGAACACTTTATTGGATGCAATTTTATTTTTTGTCAGACTAATGAGTTCGTTAAAAAAAAGATGATATCTCAAGTAATAAAAAGTCTACCTAATTTTAAAAGAAAACTGTTTCAGCAGAAATTTATATTATTGTTCGAAACAAACTAATTTAATACATTAATTTTGTATCAAGAATAAAAATAAAATAATTACTTTTTTTAGAGTTTACTCTATTTGAAATACATTTTAGAAAATTAAACTTTTGATTGACGTTTTTATTTCAAAACTTCAAGTTAAAACATAAAAGTAAATCAATTTAGTCTGGTAAAAAAATAAACCATCATTTGTATTTTTATTTAAAAACAATAACACTTATTTATTAAACCAATATATTATAAATAAATAAATGTAGGAACTTAATTATTTTGTAATAAATTCTTAATTGTTTTTTCTCTAAATTGGTAAATCTCTTAAAGGTTGGTTTTAAAATAAGATATGATATTAAAAATGATACAAATATTTGTCGTTAGTGAGAGCAAAAAGAAAAATGTATTACTCGACTAGTTTTAAGTGGAAAAAGTCGAACAATGTTAAAGCTATTCCAGTCATTTGTAACAAATGTTAAATTAAATTAATAAAAAAAAGTAGTGGTTTTTGTAAAAACTACTTTTGTGGACTGCATTTTTTTACATTTTCGTCTAAGTCATAATTCTTAAAATGTAATACACTTAGTTTGAAATTAGTTAACTATAATTTTACTTTTAATACTAAAATAGTTAGTTGTAAAATAAAATTGCAACAAAATATATTTTAAGTGCAAAACCTTTTATACAACAATAGCCATCGCATTGTTTATTATAAATAATTTTTTTTAAAACAAACATTTTCTAAAATACATTAAAATGTTATTAATATAATATTTATAAATGTCGTTTAAGAAGTAACTAAAAATGGTTTTAAATAATATCCAGATGGTTAATGACATTAGTTTTAGGCCGTCTAATAAAAAATTCATTTTATGAGTTTATCTGTTTCGAGCAAACTTTGACGACCGACTAAATATGATTTTAACGTGATTACAATTGTTTTTTTTTATCAACTAACAACAAGCTTTGCAACGATTTTGATACAATTAAAAAATCAAAATAGATAATATAAAAGTAATTACAGTAGGATTCTGTTCTAACAAAACTATACACTAGTTATGAGTATACAATTATTGTAAATTATTTTAATAACGTTTGACTTGTCCGAAATGATGTTTAACACCGGGGTGTTGTTTTCACAGATCAGATCCGGTCGTAACTGTTATCGTTCAAGCAGTCGCAAAATAAATGTCGTCGTATATACAACGGCTTTTGCCGTTTTTACCCGACCATATCGTAATACCCGATCATGTTCTGAATCCCCCAAGTACATCATCGACAGCGGAGAAGCCACGAGAAGATACAAACGATACGAAACAAACGACGGCTCTCGGTGCTGTTAAACGGTACACGTTCGACTTTGAGCAAACGGACTGGAAGAAAAAACCAATAAATAGTCCGTTGGCCAGAAAGGCTTTACAAAAAATCGAAGAGGAACGAACAAACATCGAAAAAGATATGGAATGGTTGGAAACCATTCGACAAATGAAGTCCAAACAAGAAGGCTTAATGAGTGCGTTGTTGAAGATAAAGAACGAGTTAAAAAAACAAATAGACAGCGAATGCATAATGATCCCAGACTAGAAAGTACTTATTTTTTTTTTTTCTAAGGCTCCCCAAAATTAATATTATAATAGTTATGATGAAAAGTAAAACTGTGTTTAAAAATGCATTCAGTTTATAGTGAACATACTTTTGTTCGGCAATCGATAATGTTACTGAAAAAACACAAGCTTATTTCGTTTTCCTAAATTAATTTTTTGGTAACATCATCAATTTTACATTTAACACAATTCATATTGTTAGTTTAAACTATTAATTACTATGTGTGTATTATATAGTATAGTAAACTATCGAAATAAAATATATTATCGTAATCGAATCGGCGACTTGGTAGTTTTTTTCATCTTCAAAGAGTACTGTCCCAACGAATTTGCAGATTTAGCTGAACAGTTTTGGTGTTGTATTGTCTTATCACAATGCCGTAACTAAAAAAATAAGATAATAATAATAACAATAGGAGACTGTTAAATAGAATGAAGTAGGCACCAAAGCTTTACGATGAAGAAGCGAATCAAAATAATATTGTCATCGTATTGTCGTCAAATGCTACTACTTACATATTCAAACAAAATTGGCAAATACATCAATCGGCAATAACATTATATCTTGTTTTGAATACCTACAATTATTCAACAAATTAATTAATTATTTATAAGTAAATATTTTTACTTTGGGAAAAATTGTATAAGGTTTTAAAAAAGTGTATCTCCTAATTTGCTTAACACAATTTAACCGAATTCCATTAAAAAAGTAAAACAGAAAGCAAAACATATTATTAAAGAAGGTATAGGTACTAATAATTATTTATTAAAATATATATATTTTTTTTTATATAAGTGCAAAATCTCCTAAAAGTAAAATAGTTAAAAATATTTATTAAAAATAAAAGTGTAATTAAACTGAAAGTGTTAAAGAAAATTATTCGATATTCTTTTAATTACTCAAATACTTTTACATGGCATGTAATTTTTGCTGTCGTATTTTCTTCTTTATAAAATGAATTTCTAAGTTATTTTTAAAAAAATTTACATAAAACTGCAATAAAAGAAAACATTTAATTTTTTTTTGTACAGATAATTTTTATAGCAAGTTGTATTTTAATAAATAAATTCTAAAAGTATTGTAAATAAGAATGACTTAAACTTCCAGGCTTAGTTAATATTTTAAAGTTTTTTAAAACTATAAATTATTGTATAATTTTTAATCAAATGAAATAAATACAAATTTTACCTATTAAATTATTTATACATTTACGGTACTGACTTGATGACACAATCACTGCACTACTATATATTCTTTCGGAATTTCATCTTCAAAACTCGGATTGTCTTATTTAACCGCTGTCGATCTGAAACGTAATTCAACGTTTTATTCTAAGTTAATCAATAATACATTTTTTACTTATTAACATACAAAACTTTAATAGACTTAGAAATGTCAACATAAACTAAATGAAATATATTGTAAAGCCGATATATATTTATGACTTGAGGTTTTTAGATACACAGTTTGTATTGAGCGACCCAATTTAACGAGCGATATGAACAACAAGAGGATACGACGGCATAAAAAGAAACATACTCCATTTCAAAGACTCTTTGCGTTATATGACGTTTACTGCTTTACGACTAACTTAAATATTTTAATTATAACAAAATATTAATTTATGAATTTTTTTTTTTATACAATTTTTGACAGAACATTTGCAGAAAATATGTATAAAGTAAGTAAAGCACGTTGTGTATTTGATATTTAAAATACATATAAAATAAAAATGAATTTCTTTTACAAATATCTCAGTTAAAACAACAAAACAGATTATTTTATTAATAGTAATTTAAAATAATGTTTTCAAATCGAATAATATGCACTATGAATAATCACAAAGTTAATATAAATGATAACTGACTAGCAATAGTAGGCAATTTGTCATATAAGCAATGTGAAATAATGTTCTAATTTTTTTCATCTAATTATTATATTTAGAGTTGAAATTAAAAACCAATTCCATAGTTTGTCATTTAGTGTTATAATTTGTTGAAAAAAAATGTACTCAGATATATTTTGTTTAAACGATAACAAAATTATAACTACTATTCTAGTGTTTTATAATAATGATTATTTAATTGAGTTTTTATTTGAATAAAAAATACATTAAACAACGTTCGGGTTTGCTGACTGAGTATTAAAATAAAAATTTGGAGCAAACCAGATTTATATGACGTTTCGTTTTGTTTGTCTGTTTAAAAATGTTTTGACATTAAAAATAAAATAAAATTTTATCATGAAATATTTGCTCCAATAATGTTTTAGATTACATTTGAAGTAAGACAAAAAAAAAATTGTGGATAAGAAATTGGAACTTAAAATAAGTTTGCGGCGACTAGAATGTTTTATCAAATCGAAAAGGTTGAAATGTAAGAAAAATGTGACGCTTATCAAAGAAAGTGGAGAGATGATTTCTTAGCGTCAATGTGTCGTGAGGAGAGACAAGAGAGTGAGATTAAGGGAGGCAATTGAAAGAAAGGTAGAGGAAGGTAACAATAGAGATGGTTTGACGTAATTGAGGATGATAAAACAATAGCCAATATGTGTAATCACTAATTTACTTATTAAGGTTGGAGTCCACTGCAACGCAGTGCCGTCGCTCTCACTTGATGCCTGACGCATCTTAATTTTTTTGTCTTAGGAACCATATCGTGCCATATGTCGCATCAACCTACGAGAAAAACAATTTTTATAGTATTTGAAACAAAATCAAACAATTATTGAAAATTAAATTTGGTAAGGCTAAAAAATGCATGATTGGACATAGTTGAGAGTAGTAATATAAAAATAGCTAATGTGTACCTATAATAACAAATTTTCTTACTAAGGTCAGCATTGTGTAGAATGGCAGAGAATCTTGGGGAGCAACGCTGCACCATATGCCGCCGTTCTGACTTGGCACCCGAAGCATTTCTTTTTATTCACACACATAATTTAGGGACCGTATCGTACCTTGTTACGCAGCATCAACCTACAAGAAGACCACTTTTAGAGTATTTGAAACAAAATCAAACAAAGATCAAAGATTATCTACAAGGTAAATTAGTATAAAATACCTATTACATCGCCTTAAACTTACGTTTTCATGGTACTTATAATTCATCATGTCTAATACAGACTTCTCCAACAATTTATTATACACCTACACAAAACCTACCATTCATTGCGTTATAATTAATATTTAAAAGTTTTAAATAGCAAGTCTAATCATACTAGTAAAATTGATCTTGGATTTGATTCCTTTGTTGCGTCAAGCTTCTGAAAGACATCGTTGATACAATTTGTGCGTCGACTGAGTAAGTTTTCAGCCATTGTCTTTGAGATGAATGTAATTCGAGGGGAACCATCTAAAATGTTATTGACTGCTACCTAGCATTTTATTTTTATTATTATATTGCCATTTTTTTTTTAATGATAATGTTTATTTTCTTATATAGTTGAAAGTGTTACTTTGTGTTTGTAGGTAATCATAATTTTTATCCTGTTGCAAAGCTGTACGAACAATAACCGAAATTTCAACTGTGTAAAATGATTTCTAATTATATTGCAATAAGAGTAACTAACGAATTTATATTTTATTTACAAGACAAATTAAAAAATTTAGAAAAAATGGTTTTTTTGAACGTACGTTTTCATCAATCTAAGTACAATTTCAATTTTTATCTTGTCGAATCAATATCTTATGATAACGAAGTCGTGATAACTTTTTTTTGATAACAGATTTTTAAAACAGTATTTTCAATTTAAAAAATGCTGAAAATGTTGACTAGTAATAGCCAGTTTTAAGTTATTTAATTAAAATAACTATGACGGGAAGAAGTGAGAGAAAGAGATAATATTGTATTGGGGATAAAGTATCAAAATCGAAACATTCACAAATAATACGTATTAAGTGTGGTAAGTTTGTAGAAATACAATCATTGGAGAGGGAACTAATTAAAACTGCATCAAAAATACACATTAATACAATTATTTAGAAATTTCTTTTCAAATTTACATAAATAAAACAAGCAAAATTTAGTTAATGGAAAATCTTATAAACTATACTGAAAAATTGAATAAAACATCAGTCTCCCGGTATAAAAATATGATAAAAATAGTATTTCATATAATATTATGGTGTAACATTGTACGATTTTTATTATGTGAAACTATTTAAATGGCAAAAGTAAATAATTGTTTTGTATTTAATTAAATTTTTCATATTTAGTTGGCGACAGTTGTCAAAAAAAAAACCAATTTTTAAATTTTACTTTATTACATTACATGTAGGTAATATAATATTTTGTTGATTTATAAACAATGTGTTAATATTATTTTGAATATTCTATGACTATAATAAAATAAAGTATTTTATGTACGGTATAATTAATACAAATCTATTATGCTTTCGATAACATACAGTAAGTTATAGTTTTAATTATGTGAAATTATTTAAATATGATAAGTAAATAATTTAATTTTCCAAATTGCTCCGACCTCACTTGTCATTCTTTTTTATAGGTAACTATTTTAAATTAATTTTATTATACTTGATTTATGAACATAGTGATGGTAATTTAAAACTTAAACATATTGGGCAGTCGACAACTTAACTACATCCATAAAATGTAAAATAACCCTGTATTCGAACGGCAAGCAGAAGTCCTTGAATTCTTCTAAATTAAAATTCTCAATGACTGTTATTATCCAATCGTTGCTAGATATTTGTTCTTCAGTAACGTTGAAACTGAGCCAATCGGGTTTGTATGTGTATGTACCGTTCAAATCATTTAGTATCTCCATGGTCTTTGTCGTCTCACTTGCTAAAGTGTCTTTTATATCAATGATGTCTCTTATATTTGCAACCTGTAATTCTGGTATGCTAAACACAAGGAATTCATCTTTAAAAGCCGTTAAACTCAATACGTCTCGGATAAAGTTATACACAAATATCTTTGATGGGTTCTAGCGTCTCTTCGTCGAGTGCGGATAATTGTTTTTCATAAACATGCAGTACAACCGATACATAACAATACAGTCTGGCATCAAGAATTTTGGTTTGTATATCCAAGTGCGGTTTTGCACAAATTCTCTGGTAACGGCCATCTCGACTTGATGTCGTTGTTTCGCCTTGCTCCAATCGACATTGACTTCTGTTATTTGTCTGGACAATAAATCGTCGTCGTCCCAAAATGGTTTTAGATATAAAAATTCCACCGTGACCAAAAACACCGCCGTATAAAACATCTGTAACTCATCCGGAATTGCGTAGACAGGTGAACATATTTCGTATTACTGATGGCAACGATTTTCAAAAAATAAATCCAAAGCCATTTGCCCGTCTCCAAATCTGACGCAATTAATAAATGAAGTATAATTTTGGCTTCCTCTTCAAGACGTTTTACAATAGCCTTGTTATAAATGAAAGCCTCTTCTCTTTTGAACTTTTCAACCAAGTTCTTCAAGTCCAATATGTTTGATTTCGCAATTATACAAAAACTACATTTGATGTCTTAAGCTTTTTTCTCTAATTTTTAATTTTAATTGGTAAAATTTAAAAGTGTGACAACTTTTTGTCGACAAAATTTTCAGGTCGTGCGATGAAATATTAATTCGATGTTTTTTTAATGTTTTCAATTTATTTAAGGTACGTCCATATTGTTCATTATATACTTCAACGACAAATCGTATAGGAGCTATCTAAAATAAAAAATTTAGAAAAGTGAGTCTAGAAATAAAATATTGCGTGATATATTTTGCTTCAAAATAGCTAAATTTTAGAATAGTGCAGCATCATTGATGCTGTTAAACATATATTTATGTTTTTTTATTATATTGTCTGAAAATGTATAATTCTGACTACACATTAATATTAACATCTCATTTGTACAAGAAAAATATTATAAGTTGTTTAACGTACCCGTTCACAGCAAACACTTGAATCCCAACTTTGTAATTGTTTTCATTTATAAATAAAAATGTCTATTTATATTATTAGTAACGTCTTTACGATTTTCATCGTGTTCAGTTGAATCATTAGCGCAAGAAAATAAAATCCCTGTTAATAAAAACAGTACAGTGGAGTCGGAGCATAGTGGAAACTTAGCCAAACCAATACACTTTTTTTTTTTGTTAAGACTTACATTTATTTTTCAATATGCTTCGAACGAGTAGCATACAATTTCAACAAAATTTATAATATTCTACTAGTATTAATAACAGTGTGTGTCTTTAATATTCAAATGACGTTGAAGCATTATGAAAACATGTCAAAGTTAAAACCCTATTTCACCTTATCTTGAAACATGTAGTAAGTAACATAAATAATAATTTATTTAATAAAGAACAAATGTTAAATGTCAAGTACAAATGTTTGTGAATGGATAAATCTAATTAAAAACGATATGGTTCAACAAAACATTTAAAAAACTTCACATATGTAACGCTTAAAAAAATAGTGATTATAAAAGTAGGTACTGACAATTATTGTTAATTACTATTACACTGAGTGAAGTGTGAAGAAGAGACGGTGCCGTTCATTTGAAAATTATTACTTTTTACTTTTTTTACTCTTGTCTGTCGTAGCCCTAGTATTTAGATAATGGTATTATTCGTGTATGGTGTGCGGCCGGTATTGTGTATTTTTACCGGGAAAACTTGTAAATTTCATAACCAATGCACATTGTTTAGAGTATTTTTACATTCACTCTTGTGATCTCTCTCCGGTGTTAGTTTTTTATCTCAAATGTCAACTTATATTTTTGGGACTAAATTATAATAATAATATCCAATCAAAAATAGTAAAACCACGCTCTTATATAATGACTTAACAGGTATTACCAAAATAATGGCCTCAGTAATACTATAATATTATAATTATTTTTATTAAGCCCCGGGATACTACCCTACGTGTATCAATTGAATTACCAAACACATTACTGTAATAATTTATTTAATCTGTTATTATTATATTATATAAATAATATGTATCATGTACGAATTATATATAAACGAAAAAAATTGTATTTTTTATAATATCTTTAATTTATGGTAAGCGTGCAACAAACACAAATATGCTTATAATTGGAATTTGTCTTAAACGACTGGATTTGAAGTCGAAGCTTCTGTCATTGTAACATCTGTTTCGTTGTTCTTCTGAAAATTAAAATTCTGTCTCAATTTCCGTCATAATGATTGTAAAAAAAAATATATATATAGTATTTCTTACCCCACGATCGTCTACAATTACTCGAGCGGGAGCTTCAAAATATAAAATACGGAAATCCTACAACATAAAATAGTTATTAAAAGTTAAAAGACACTCTTAGCTTATTTCACTCACATTGCCTGCTGAGTTATAAACGCCAGTAATACGAATGTAGAGTATCGGTCTGGGTGTAAATTTCAACACCTGCCAAGATTGTTTCAGCTCTTTAGTTTCGTTTGCAATCCATTTCCAATCCTGATTATTGATAGAATCCTCAACAGTGTACTTGTAGAATTGGTCATTACCGCCCCAAAGCAGAAACCTGTCAATTATGGCAATAATAATACTGTATTAGTTAAATAATGAAAAAATTCATGAATAACAATAATTAGGCCAAAATAAACTTCTGTTTTCTTGTAAATAACCGAATAATAAAAAATTCATAATAAATGATAAATCAATATAAACATTATGGTACAACATAAAAAAAACAACAAATTAAACCTATTTTCGTTAATGATATCCATTAACATTTTACATTGTGAATTAGTTGAATAAACTGCACATCAATTTTCAATTAAAAAAAAAGAACATTTTTATATTTATAATTCAATTTAGAAAAAATGCTATACAAATGGAGGGTATAAGTGTTACAACATCCTAAGAACTAAATTTGGATAAAGGATCTAATCGAAAAGATAAATCTTTTACTTGAGAGTGTTTAAGAATGATAAATAGTATTTTGTACAATTTGGAGACTTAAGCTCTGACAAGGAAATAAAAAAAAAAACTTTAAGAAATTATTTATAGACCGTGTATGAGTTAAAATTGTATTAGAACGATTGAAAATGATAAAGAAAGAAATTGAAAAGAAGACTTATTGCTCTAAAAATACAAGATATTTATACAATTACCTCATTGAACTAAGTATATATGGTTGTGCAAGATGAATCACTATACAACCAGATTGTAAATTATGATATGTATACATGTTTAAACGATCAATCTTATTATCATAACGATCATAGTAATCATCAACTAATACGTTTAACATCGACTGACTCCACAAATTATGTTCTCCTTTGATTACAAATGCATACCTAAAACTTGATGCGACATTATACCCGTACTTAGGAACTAAGGAATCAATTAGACAAATACATAAATATATATGTTAAACTTTTTTAATTAAAAACTGAGTTACTTTATTGATTTTCTTACCGACTAATCCATTTTTTATTTCCACCTCGTGCATTTCTTCTGTATTGTACTTGACACTCGAAAATTCAAAAGTTTCATTAGCAGTTCCTACAACGCGTATATACCGAACTATGCGTGATTCAATCCACAAATTTTGAGCTGATCGACAATTATAATTTGAATGATCTATAGCACGGAACCAAACCGTCTGGTCCATTGAAACATCAATGTAATAAGAGTAATACCTAAAGTATTAAATAATTCGATTAACTTGTAGAGTAGTGATTCATAAAAAAGTATAGCAAATTAAATATTAGGCCCAAAGTTGTTTAAAAAGTTGTCGAATAATAAATATTAGTTATAAACAACTAATTCTTAATAAACATTAAGAATAAATAATCATTTTTCAACCACTGATCATTTTTTTTTGCTTAACTTATAATAAAAATAAATTCTCAACACATGAAATTTTTATAAATAAATAAAATTAATCATAAATCATAGTCACGAATCTTTCAAACAATTTTTCAAACCATATTTTTTCTTAATAATGGTTATACAATTAGAGTTATTTATAAGCTGAAAACATACCTTTGTTTATCCAGGCAATCTCTACCCGGTAACGATATTACAATATAGTTTATAAATGATGGATCATGCAAGGTTATCGTAGTACTACCGTTAGTGCCATTGATAACCGGAGTATTCGAAGGTATAGGAAAAAGGAAGTCACGTGGCCGATGAATAAGATCTACATTGGGTTCTAAAAAAAGAAATAATTAAAACCCACATAATTTGCGAAACACAAATTTATGTGTACAGCAAGCATACTTAGCTGGCCTCGATATTGAAGCTTATCTGGTGACGAGGTGTTTCTGAATATTGTGTCATATAAACTTTTATTCGTTTTAACCAGCGGTGATTGCCTAACCTCAGCCAATTCTTTAACACTCATTAACGGATATCTGATCGCAGATAAAACTTTCATTTTAGTATTATGATCAAGACTGTTTTGGTGTATATTAATCCAGCGACAAACTGCGTGGAATATATCTAATTCATTACAATAAAATGAGTCACGAATGATAATATCTTGAAGAACTTCCTAAAAATCAAAATTCCTTTTAAACTATTCTCCTAACACGAGCAATATAATTTTTTTATTTAAAACAATGCCATTACGGGTGACAAAGATAGAAAGTCTTCAGAATGCAATACTTCTGAGGCGTGATTATCGATAAAATGAAGTGATTCGACTTCAAGGTCATTGTATTTATAAGTTCGAGTCATAGCTAAGAACGACCATGCATTTTCTACGTCAAGAGTACTTTTTAAATACTCGTGCAGTGGAAGTTTTAAGTTTAAAATACCATAATAAACCGAAATCCTAAGTAATTCGAAAACTTCTTCACCCTAACAAAAAAAAAAAAAAAAGTGATTAATCTTTCTTTCAAACGACCACACAACCTTAATAAAAATTATATTTATGCCGTTTATATACGATAAAGCTACATCGACTATTCATTACCTGTAGATCACCTAAATTTATTTGACCAGTATAAATATATCCAAGAAGTGATTTATATGAGGTTATAGATGCACCACTAAGATTGACCTTAGATTTATGGGCTTCTTCATAATCTCCAGAAAAAAACCTCCTAAAAATAATACACAATATTATTACAAACAACATAATATTATATGTTAAACATTTTGTAAATTACAGTTTGTTAAAGTCTAATTAAACGGGCTTCTAAAAATAGATGATACATCTAATTCTTACTAAAAATTCTCGTTAAGAATTGGTAAAACAGATAAATTTGAAATGACAATATTATTAAGGAGTGTTAATAATATATATACAAGCATTTTACTATGAAGTAAAACGATAAAAATAGAAACCTTTTTAGAGATAATTGTACTGATTGATAATTATATTATGTTTGAGACGATAAAAACATTTATTTTGAGTATTTTTTATATTAAGTCACAACGAAGCAGGAAGTCCAATTCATTGTCATGAAAATTCCACGAGGAGAGCCGATAATCAAGTTTTACATGAAATGCCCCATATACAGGTAAACAAATATTTTATTTATGCCTAACTTTCTGACTTGATGTTTAATAACTTCAGCTACAAATAAAACAAGTAGTTATGTCATAATAAAAGTTAAATACCCACCTAAAATATTCGCTGTGTGAGGCTAGTATAATACGATGGGCAGGCAATTGTTCTTTACCCACAACTAAAACAACATCTGAACATCTGAAAAATGCATTCAAATTATTTAACACGACACATATGTGTATGTTTTAACCTTATCTTAGTCTCTAGTTTAATATAGAAAATAAAAGCATTGAATAATTTTGGGTAGGAAGATTATAAAAAATAGAAATGGGGCAGAAAGTAAACCTGTCTACATTGACAAATCAGTCAAAAAATGTTGAAACAGTAGCTTCTTTATTAGCATTTTATGTTTACAATAAAATGAAACAGTCATTTAAAAACATATCATATTTTAGCTTTCCGTGTACAACCTACTTTAAATCAAATATGAAATAGGTTAACCTATCTATATTAACAAATTAGTATAAAAAAATATAAATAGTAGCTTCTTTATGAGCATTTTAAGTTCACAATGATACAGGCATACTATATTTTAGCATTCCGTGTACAACCTACTTTAATTCAAATTAGAATTATTACACAAAAATTGGGAAAACGGGACACACAATTATGGCTTACTTTTACAATATTATTTTAAGTATAACACTTTATATTGCTAACAGAGTAGAAAAAATTTCGGGCTATGGAATTAAAAAACTGTATACAAGATTAGCTTGATAACTTGTGAAAATAATAAAGTAAATAAGTAAAAATTCAATACCACATACATGTTGCTTAGATAGAGGTCCCTTATGAATTCAACCAAGAGTCCAGTATGGTCGATATGCTCATTACTGTGATCTGAGGAAGGCGTAGGTGGAACAGATCAAAACAGAAAACATTTTAGATTAATTTGTATGATTTATTAATTTAGGTTGCATCCACCCGCCAGAATTCTTATTTTTCAACTTTTTGTTTATTTTTTTTAATTTAAATAATTTAGTTATTATAGTTTTTTCGACGGTAATAGAATGGTTTTATAATTTTTAAAATCTGTTAACGGCGCTAGCGTTTAGTATAAAATAATTCAATAAAAATTAATCCTTTATTAAAGGGTTATTAAAATCTTTTTATTTTTAAAAATACTTGAATTGGGGGGGATTGTTGATTTAATTTTTGAAACTTATTAGTTAACAATAATTTTAAATAGATATTAAAAGATATTCAATTGTTTATCTAGTAAATTTATAGCTCTACTAACTTTTAAAACTTAAATTGTGACGTACAAAATATTTAAAAAAATGTCCATCTGCATATTCTAAGAAATTTTAAATTTTTTATGATTTAATAAAATAATATTGTAACAAATAGTTGTCATCCTCCAATTTTCTATCCCTAAGGAAATACCCTTAAAGTTAAGTCACACAGAATAATACACATAGTTGTTCCACCTGAAATTTTGGTGAATAGTAAAGTGACAGACTAAATTTCAAGTTAAAAAAAATAAGTAAATATTTGACCCAATTAAATTTTTAGTTTAAGGAACTTGATTAAGTTCGTCCAACTAAATGTTTAGTAAGTCCAATTATTTATTTAGTTTTTCTAAACTAGAAATAAATTGTGTCCCTATAATAACGTTAATTTTAGTTTCACCAACTTTGTATTTTTTTCGTACTTTTTAAATACTTGTTCAATGGAAATTTTAGGTTTGAAATGCCATAATAATCCGAAATCCTAAGTAATTCGAAAACTTCTCCACTCTAAAAAAAATAATAAAAAAAGTGATTAATCTTTCTTCCTTAAAATGTTCTCAACAAATATATAATTTAAAAGATCTAACACATACTACCATCCAAACAATCACACAAACTTATAAACGGTTAAGCTACGTCGATTATTCATTACCTTAAGATCACCTAAATTTATTTGACCAGTATAAATATATTTATGAAGTATTTCAAATGATGTTACTGGTGCATCATTAAGATTGACCTCAGATTTATGGAATTTTTTATCATCTTCGAAAAAAACCCTCCTGAAAAAAATACACAATACTATAACAAACAACATATTATATGTTATACATTCTGTAAAGCACAGTCTTTTCAAAAGGTAACCGAGATAATTGCACTGATTGATAATTATACTATTTTTGGGACGATGAAAACATTTATAAGGAGTATTTTTTTTTAAGTTTTAAAAAGTCCTTAGACATATTATGTTTTGTACCGAAATATTTAAGACAGCAGCAACGTTTAAAATAAGTTAAATTACTAAAAAAAAATAGGGATCTTATTTTAGGTCACAACGAACCAGGGAGTCCAATTCATTGTCATGAAAATTCCATCGGGAGGGCCGATGAACAGGTTTTACGTGAAATTCTCCATATACAGGTAAACAAATATTTAATTTATGCTTAACTTTCAGACTTGATGTTTGAAAACTACAGCTAAAAAAAACAAGTAGTTATGTCATGATCAAAGTTAAATACCTACCTAAAATATTCGCTGCGTGAGGCTAGTATAATACGATGGGCGGGCAATCGTTCATTACCTACAACTAAAACAACATCTGAACATCTGAAATATGCAATCAAAATATTTAACAATACACATACTAATATAAAATGTAACAATAAATTATACATAATGTAACAAATTATTCTTACAATTAATGTTTATCTTTTAACCTTATCTTAGTCCCTAGTTTAAAATGGAAAATAAGAGCATTGAATCATTTTGAGTTGGAAAATTATAAAATATAGAAAGGCGGAAGAAGGTAAAACTATTTATATTGATAAATCAGTCAAAATATTTTTAAATAATAGCTTCTTTATTAGCTTTTTAGATTCACAATGAAATTATAAAGTCATATCATATTTTGGCATTCCGTATACTACCTACTTTAAATTAAATTAGTATTATTACACCAAAATTGACAAAACGGGACACACAATATTGGCTTACTTTTACCATATTATTCTAAGTATAACACTTTATATTGCTCACAGAGTAGAAAATATTTCGGGATATGGTATTAAAAAACTGCATACAAGGTAAGCTTGATAAGTTAAGTAAATAAAGTTAATAGGTACAAATTTAATACCACATACGTGTTGCTTAGATAGAGGTTTCTTATGTATTCAATCAAGAATTCAGTGTGGTCGATAAGCTCGTTACTGTGATCTGAGGGAGGCGTAGATGGCGACGCATAACCAGATTTACCAGAATGACCTAGAATAGATCAAAACAGTGGACTTTTTAGATTAATTTGTATCATTTATTAATTTAGGTTGCATCCACCTTCCAGAATTCTTATTTTTCAATTTTTTGTTTATTTTTATATTTTAAATAATTTAATTATTATAGTTTTTTCGACAGTAATAGAATGGTTTTATAATTGTTAATGCTGTTAACGGCGCTAGCGATTTTTTTTTTTGCTTTACACGCCTTGCAGGCGTTTCGCAGCTTCTACTAAGACTCTCCAACGATCCCTGTCATCGGCCTCCTCCATTACTACTGTTTCATCCGTTCTTTTTAGATCATTCTTTACACGGTCCATCCACCGCTGGTGCGGTCTTCCTCGCGGTCTCTTCCCAGATGGATTATTGGTTAAAACTTTATTGATCAGATTCTGCTTTGCCCTCCAAACATGCC